CTCCTACCGCCATACAAACAAAAGTATGTGTCGTAAAGTCTATGGTCATAATTCACAAACGGACTAAACAGCTTCAATTAAGCTTTGAGCTCAACATTTTAATTTGAGAGAAAGTTTTGAAAAGACGAAGAAGATTCAGGTAACCTTCCAGAACTAAAATACATGTTGGTATTCAGAAATCTCAGCTTGCCCCATTATTGCTGTAGATTTTACTGTAGCATTTTGTTAATATGTTAAAAGGTGTGTTAGTTTGATATAGCAGATCGACAAAGAAAACCATAAGATCCTAAAACTATGGAGAACCACCTGGAGAAACAGAGTAAGTGATTTTATCCTTTATACATTGTAAAAAGAAAACATTAAGCACATACTCAAGTCTCGCAAGAATCTGTAAAATTCCCCTAAGAGTTTTTGTTTCGTTTTTTAATCTGGAGTTTCCCCCTCTCCAAAAGCCTGGTGAATTCCTTGTTCAGAGGCACATGTTTTGTAATGAATACTGTAGCTATCAAAATGAAAATATGATCTTTGATGATTTATTAGAAAGCAGTAAACAAGAACTGGTACAAGACAGGATAATGTCAATGACAAGGTGATTGATTAAAAAGCACAAGGTAGAAGATCCATAAATTATAATGAGAGTGAGAGCTAGCAGCAGGGTGGGAGGGAGCAACATAATTAGGTTAAGTATCAGTAATCCTTTGGGCTAATTAAAGCACCACCGCTCCAATTCAAGCAAACATACAAGCCTTTTCCATCATAGCATACAAAAAGCATGAAATACGGCTGCACTTTTATTCATAATATGAACTAGGAATAGGCCCTGGAGATTTTATATTTGACTTTGCTGGTTGTGAGCTTGGAGTTTTATCTCCCTGTAGTGAGATTATGAAAGTTGAATTGGCCCTATAATGCTAATTTTCAGGTTGATATTTGTATTGCGTGCCTCTACTGTGACATGTTTACATGTTTGAGTGTTCAAAAAGGTCTTTATTCTTCTCATACTGCCTGTGCTGCAGCACCTCTTTTCACCCTCTGTCTGAAACCAGAGCCCAGTCTGCTCTGATTGGTTAGCTGGCCGACTCTGTTATGATTGGGCAGCTGCTTAGAGAGGTCCCGCCCCTTAGCCTATTATGTAAATTATGTTGGAGCGATAGCCAATAGAGGCGCTACATATTGTTACATAGTGATGTCATTATGTTACGGAAACAAAGAGTCAAATGGAGGTGTTTCAGGGAGTTCAACTTTGGGATTTTGGCCTTTGCAGACCATTCCCATGCACAGAAACCTATCTAACACACTACAGGAAAGGGAAATGCCCAAAAAGCACAAGAGGGCACAGACAACTATGCATTATAGTTGAACCAATAACACATCATCATCTTGAAATTGTTCTGTTATAGGTGGTTGCTGGTGTATAGCGCCCTATAACGAATGGAGCTTCCCCAGGCAGTTCATGTGTGTCTGTCTGTCTGTCTGTGGGAGAAGGTACATGAAAACAGGTTCTGTGGGAAATGTGGCAGCATGCCCATGTGTGTTTGTCAGTTATCAGTGTTTATATTAACTAAAGAAAACTAGCTAAACTGGTGCAGAGTCCACAGCCTGGAGGGAGCGCGTGGACCTGTCTTGACAGGCTGAATGTATTGTTAAATAATTCAAGATGATGGGAATACACATACTGGGGTTGTGTACAGTACATACTGTAGTAGTGACAACACTGTAGCTATGGTGGGTTTGATTGTGTGACTCCTAAGGCTAAACAAGGACAGAGACTCCCTGAACTGCATGCATGCATGGCTGCAGAATCCTGCAGGCATACTGAGAGATAAGCAATAAGGAAACTGCAGGTGCTGTCCACTCATGTCATCTGTAACTGAATTAAATATAATATTACAGTTAGCAGAGAGACTCAGAAAGTGAATTCACATAGATTGTTTTGCCCTTCACTCTTTGCTGGCATGACAACACAAAAGCAACTTGCACTTGATACACTGGCACAGTTAGACACCCAATAAAATCCTCATTCAACCAAACCCTTGAGTGCAGTTTCCCACACTCAAATATGACAGGCATCATTTGTCCGCAGACCAACCCAAAGCATGTCAAATGTGACTGTTACTATTTATTACGCCCGTAATTAAATACAACAAAGGCGGTTTGGGAAATTCCACGCAAGAGGCAAAGAGGAAAAGGCATTTCAAATGACTGCAACGTGGATTAAATATCTAAAAACATTCATATATTGGTGCAAACTGCGCCAGACATGCTCTTACCTTGTTATAGTCCAGTCGGATTCAGATGTCTTCTCCTAAATTAATGTCGTTTAAAATGTATACTGTATGGTTATTTTCCACAAAACGTGTTGTTAATCGGATATACAATCAGTATTGCCTAGAAGTGATATAGGAATGAGGAAAAAATCGCGTTTTCGCTAGCTAAATCGAAGCATGTAAAAAACGTGTTGCCGCCGCGGAGAGAAAGACGCGGGTCTGGCTGCTGAAATGTTTGCTGCGACTATATTTGCTCGGCTGCAACACTAACTGAACGGACAGCAAAATAACAGATTTAAAAAAAATCAAGAGGGAGGGCAAAATGGTGAGGGAGGAGTTCAGGAAAAACGAGTGAGAATGTGTGTGTTTGCTTTCGTTTATTAGGTAACGTGATTAGCATTGGGGAGAAATCAAAGTCACGACAGAAGGTTGTAAAGGTAGGCTGCCATGAACACAGGTAAACCAAAAGGACAGGTGTGGATCAGATTACACTCGAACAAGGGGAATAAAGAAACCTCCCTGATTAGAAATGACAAAGATTCCCTTTAAACCTGGTGACTGGTGGTCAAATTGTCTGTAGACGAAAACAAATCACCTATATCCCAAAAGTATGGAGGATGAGAGATGCCAAAACAAAGAATTACATATAGTACCACATATATAAATAATGTAATATTCCAAAAATAATATTTATTTTGCTTTTAAAAATGTATATTAAATTGTTTCATTTATGTAAAGATATAAATCTGTATATTTTTTCCATTTGCATTCTTTCCTCTTCTTTATTTCCACCACTTTTTCTATATTTGCACATGCCTATTTGTTAATCTATTTTTTGATTGGGCAGCTTCCTTACATAAAATATATACATACAATATCTATACACACATGTTAAGGCTTATTCAGTCTAACTGTATAAGAATATTAGGATAGGGATAATATGTAGGCTAGTTTCAAAAGTTCGTTTTGCAAGGTTTATATTTAATGATGAGTAATATTTTAAAGGTCCTATGTCATGCTTTTCCGGTTATTACCCATCCCCTTGTGTGTTATGAAGGTTTTTATGCATGTAAACGGTCTGCAGTCACAAACCCTCAAAGAACACCCTGTAGCGAGTACAACTTAAACACAGAAAAGACCTGTCTAATAGTGTCTATGCTGCCCCAGAACGCCTCATTGGAGATTTCTCTTTTTCTTCCTACAGTGACGTATTGGGTATAGTGACGTAACGTAACGTGCGCAGAGCCGTTACGTTTGGACCAATCCGCGGGCTTCCTCACACACACACACACACACACACACACGCGGGTTTAGCTGTGTCTCGCTGTCTCGCAGACCCCACGCAGCAGCCAGGAAACAACACCAGTAATCCAGCTCACACTGTTAGCTCCTCGTAGCAGCGAGGCCCGCAACGTCCCGCCAACACGGCACCCAGACCGCACGCAGCAGGAGCTCCAACAAGGCGTTGAGGACAGAGAATGAATACACATTCTATACAGAGATGCTGTATGAAAAACCAATGTGAGTTTGGAACATTGAACTCGGTAAATCTATTCTAGTAGACCTCAACAATGGAATTATGATCAGTAGAAATGGCCATGACATGGGGCCTTTAATATATGTGTTGTAAATTCACAGATATCAGTATGAATCTGGTTTTAAAAAAAAGGTTGACTTAAAAAATATTCACAAAACCTTTTAACTGTTGTCTGGAGCCAACTGTAATATTAGTGGCACCACTTTACAGTAAGAGCCCCATAGAATACAGGCCAAATACAAAGCCAAGTTGGTCCTAAACAGGAAAGGAAGAAGCACAGCAGCATGCTTCGTATCAAAGGCCAGAGACCGGCTAGTGGTTTTATATGTGCTTTTTGAGATTTTTTGCATCAGTTAAAAACTTGACATAGACCAAAAAAGGACGAAAACATGCAGGTAATTCATTGTAATTGTAAATATATATATATATATATATATATATATATATTATATATATTTGTTATATATGTATAAGGTAATTAATACTTCAAACATTAGGAGCAGCTATCACAGATTATTTCTATATTAAATCTCTGAAGGTTCACACTTATAAATGGTTGAAAATCCCACATGTATTGCACCAGTTTTCTTTTTTAGATTAATCTGTGATGTCAACTTCCATTGTATACCTCCTAGTGATGTGAAGTTCGCGAACGATCCGATTCTTTTGAACGGCTCTTTGGTACGAGCGAAGGGAACCGAGTCCTACTTGGTGAGAGCCGTTCTTTTTTATCGTTGGTTCACTGCCTGCCATAAATCCACTAGCCTTTACGGGAACTTTCTTTCCTGAATGCCAATTAGCCGTGGATGATGGCATAACGCATGCTTGAGTATAGTTTGGCTGGCTGAGAGATGTAGCAAGTTATACATTTTCTGTGAGTAAAAGTAGATTTCTGGCAATACAGTCAATCATTATCCTGGTGATTATTTCACAGATAAACCTATTAACCCTGCTTAAACGGCTCTCGGAAAGGAACGGAGCCATAAGATCCGTCTCCCTTCAAGGAGCCGTAATTCCCATCACTATTACCTCCAGCCGGTATGTTTTGATTATGTTTAGAATATATCAGCGCTCCCTGCTGGTGTTCCAGAGGTTTGCAAGTGCAAGATACAAAGCTTTTGCAGTCTTTGGTGCACATGATCGGACAAAAGGACACAGAAAGAAGATATCCAAGTCAGTCAAGAATAGAACAATAGAACAATTCATGTAAAAGCATTTTATATAAAAGATTGAGCATTGGGTCACATTCAGTCCTTTTACAACATTAGTATTTAATGCTTCACAATGAGGTATCTATGGAAAATTCTCCTTTTCTGTTACTTAAAAGACACTTAAAATCACAGGTACATTTTAAAATGTATACATATTAGACAAGATAACAATTTGGCAAACATATAGATTGTAAATCACAAACAGTATCACATTATTGATAGAAACAAGTATCACATTGTTCATTGTTCTTTTTAACAAAGTAAATAAAAGAAACACCCCCTTTTTCCAAGCAACATCACATTAGTGTTAAAAAACCAGTGCCAAGTTGCATAAACTACCTTTGAGTTTCAAACTTAAGTTTGTCCCATATGTCAAATATTATTCTAATCTCAAGTGTTCATTGAGAAGAATAACACTCCTTGCCCAAGTGTTCAGACTAAGGCTTTCATGGTCTGTAATCATAACAGTAGCACAGCACAAATTTAACTTGAGTTACAATGGTTAAGCTTCAATCACATGATCATCCTTTAACATTACTTTTCAGCTTTATTTTCAAGGTTAGCTGTACTACTCCAAATGGAAAGCAAAGATAACACGAAAAGAAAGCGAAAACTGTGCAGAAGATGAGCATGTTGTTTACCTCGAAGAATATGACACTGTATATAATATAATCAAAATGTTTAATATAATACGAGGTTGAATATTAAATCTATACTCTTTCAAAAGTACCACTTTGCTCATTATCCAGTGTGCTCTGATATCTCCTCTCCAATCACCAAAAATATGCAATGGTCTTATTTTCTACACATTACTTCACACTAGATTGGTATGGATCCTTTTAAAATGGCTACTAAGGACATACTTAAATACTTAAATTGCTAAGTACAAACACATCATAAGACGATCCCTGTGGTGATTTAATGCAAATTTAGGGCAACCGTAACCTAAAAAGTTTGTATGCAACTGTGCTGAGGAGACAAGTGCAGAAGGTGTGTGTGATCACTGAAGGAGGAAGGTTTGCAGCTACCTAGACCAGCCTTTCTTTCTGTGAAAGAAAAACTATTCATTATGAATGTCAGTTGTGTCAAAGAAATACAATCAGTACCAATAAATACGTGTGCAATTTGTTCATGGTGAACAAAAATAAAATGTAGTGGAAGGCGTATATTAAAAATAACTTTGATTCATTAACAACCAAAAAGGCAGAGCTTGGCACACATAGTATTAAGACAGCCTTCTGCTCACTCCCGTCACTTCCACTGCTCCACATTGTCCATGTAATCCTCCATGGTGCCGTTCTCATCCTGTTCCCACCAGTCTGGGAGCGGCACCTCTGACGCCACATTGTCCCCGCCAGCTTTCCCCCTCGGTGGCTCCTCAGCGCCTGCAGAGCTACTCGCTGGCTGACGGGGGGGTTCTGTGGGCTTCAGCAGCCTCCCTTGCTTTGTCGTGATTCTTCCACGGAGCCGCCTCCTCTCCTGCTGCCGCCTCGCCCTGGCCTGCCTGCGCTCCTGCTGCCTCGCCACCTGGAAGCGCTGCAAGAAAAGGTCACGGGCGTACTCGTACAGCTCTACATCCCATCGGTTCAGCTGGAGGATTTTGTGTTGTGCCTCAGATGGGACATCAACGCTGGAGGCGCGTGTGCCGTTAAGCTGCGTGAAGGGTGCAATGAACTCCAGATTGAAGGTACGCTCAAACAGATACTGGGTTTTACGCTGGTACTCGGTCAGCCCAAAGAAGGCCATGCCTCGTAGGTTACGTTTGGCGCTCTCCAGAAGCAACGCCCAGCGCTCGTCGTCGCTCATGGTGGAAACGTTGTAGCAGCCCACCAGGCTGAGGTCAGCCAGCATGCGGGCCTGCCGGTTGTTGGCTAGGTTGTAGGGGCAGTCCATGAACTCCTGCAGGGAGCAGCCAGACCAGTCGTCCCCTGAGTAACAGCTCGGCAGCTCAGACAGCGTCGGTGAACGTCCATCACACACGTGTAAGGACGCCCTCCATGTAGCCCCCCGCTGCACGTGACGCCACTCACTCAGGAAGCGTGAAACTGGGTCTCTTAAGATGGTTATATAATAATAGTTTCTACTGTAAAGGAAAAAAAAGATATTAGTACTGTGATGGGGTTGTAACCATAAACTTATGTTGATAATAACCATGATATATCAAATATGTATATAAGTACCTTGTTAATAACACACATATGGTAACATTTTGTTAGGACTTGCCGATGTTTTGTTAATCTGTTAGCCCTTTATACTATCCATTAATGTAATTGTTATTTTTGTAAAGTTATTTTTAAAGATTTAAATGTTTTATTAAAATAATAATTAATCTGTAGATTATTTGATTAACTATTGAAATAAGCATTTGATGTACTCATCATTGTGCTTTGAAAATCTATCGGTTTGATTAAGTATCTAAAGCAAATCATTGGTATGTGTGAAGCAGGTAAGTAAAAAAAACAAAAGAGACTTTGTGATAAGCGAATGCGAGCTGAAACGATAAGTACATTGATTGATTAATTGATCGAAGAATAATGACGACTTTTGACTGGATAAACATAAAAAAAAGAAAGAAAAAAGTTTGGGATGTAAGGCAAACTACCTTGTTTATGACCAAAACTAGGTTGGCATTTTGTGTGATTAACTGGAAAACAGATAAACAAATCAATAATGTTGATCACTTTGTTACCTGGGCTGTGTCTCGGGAGCCTCTCGTGAGTCCATGCGGGACGGGACGCAGCTGGTCAGCTCGGTCCAGTCCGCGTGAAGCCCGCAGCTCCATCCGGTGGAGAACCGGGAGAACAGCCAGGTTTCCATTTTACCTGGCCGCAAACAGGTACACTTCTTCTGACCTGCGTGGCACTCACAAGGCCTTTCCAGCTGGATATTACGCACCAGGTGTCGACCAAACGTGGTGCCACCTGTTTTCTGAATGTGCAGAAACACTATCACATCATCCCCTTTGATGTTGAAGTCTACACCACGATTTAAATCGGCCTGGGTGAAATTGAATCGGGGGATAAAGCGAACCAGGGCACCATCTTCAGCGATGTACGGATCCCTTTGCAGCCCGTCCTGGATTTCATTGCCCCCACCGCTCCTGGAACCAGTTGCAGCCCCGTCTTTAAACCAGGAGCCCAGGTGGTGCAGCATCTGGCACTCAGACCTGCTGGGGCACACATACTGGGTCATAATGATGCCAAAGAGCAACACCATGAGCAGGACGATCAGGACCCGGTGGTGTCTGATGCTGCTGCTGGACCTTTCATCCATTTTCCCGGTACGGACAAAACAACATCACCCGGGCTGGCCGGACCCCTGCCTCGGCTCGGCTGGCGGACCTCAGGGCATCTGCTTTATGGACGCTACTGAAGCGAAAACAATAACAATGCAGTTGCTAATGCTAGCAAGCTAACGGCAGCTAAACCGAATGAAACTAAGATAAACGTAAATATAAAAACCTCATGTACTGTCTGTTTTATCTTATAAAGCAAGAATCACTTGTCTCGTGTGAAATCACAAAGTATTTTCCTCCAGTCGGACAAGTTAGTTGTATAAAGTGATAATCTTTGTTGCAGCAGTGAATCCGTGCCTCGATTCTTGACCTTTCTTCCCAGCAGCCTCTGCGCTTTGTGGGCGTCAAGACTACGTCATGGTATAGTATGCTCCACAAATGATCCAAATGGAGGCACAATGTTAACCTAAAACACTGGTAAATGTTCTATCCACGCTTTTTTGTATGTCACAGAAGAGTATGTAGTATTAAGAAATCCAAAAAAACTATGCTTACATTATGTTAGCTAACAATAAATTTTAGAATTGCAAAATCACAATTTTACGGCCGAAATAGCTCAGTTGGGAGAGCGTTAGACTGAAGATCTAAAGGTCCCTGGTTCGATCCCGGGTTTCGGCACTGTTTTTGGCACAGCAAACAAACCTGGCATTTACCAGTTACAGTGTCATATCATGTCAGGAATGTGTTGGAACCATAGAGGTTGGAACTTGAAAAAAATGCAAAGAGATAAAGATACCATAACAGTACGTGGTGATTTTTAGAGAAATATGTTTCACAGATGAATAGACTCTGATAGACGGATGCTTTATCAGTAGAATGGGTGGGGAATAGTATCATGGATGTTTAGAGGGATTGTCTGGATGCCATCTACAGAGAATACGTTCACCACAACTCCACCCACATTCCTTTAGCTTTGGCATCCAGTCCTGACCCCCTCCTGAGCAATTCAAAACAGTTACTTAAAATGCAGTGTTATCTTTTCTTCTTCTAGTGCCATTGTTAGCCCGGCTGAGTCTAAACCATGGATGTATAATAAGAAACATGTTCTAACCTAGCAGATGAATAATTTGCAAGTCTGTGTGTTTGCAAGTAAACCAGCTTGTCTGAGAAAACATTACTCTTGTGGCGACTGACTTGGTATATTTAATATGTTTTTATTTGTTTAGATGTGTGTTATTTTTTACAAAGTTAGACTCTTGTATTGAGTTTCTTCTGAACTAAATTAAGAAACCCACTCTGAACACCATCGTGCTGTGGATACATCTCTCAACACCCATATGAAACAGAACTGCAAACAGATTTTCTGGCCCAGGCCAGGCGACGCCACTGATCGCCTGCTGATTAGAGTCATTAATTATCAGGCCCTGCCCTTCATCAATGATTATCCAGATAATGTCTGCAGCGGTCTGCAGGGGGATTATTTCCTCTCCTGCACGAGCGGATAAAAAAGAGGTCAGTTGGTCAGATGACGTCGGGTCGCCGTGGCTACGTTACTGTTGGATCAATTTCAAATGATTGTCTGTAGAAAGATGTGTCACTCTGCACAATAGTAAAGCAACCACTCAGGCTAACAGAATAAATGCAAATACTAGCAAAACGTGTTTTTTGGAGAGGAACAAAAGTTGCCAATCAAATGTATAATACCACCGTGTATAAAATACTCTGTTATACACCAATAATTGCAGTAATAAACTAACTGAAGTAAAAGTGCATCGGTAATTGCATGTATACAGGTTATGCTTATGTATTACAGTCAGAAATTAGTGGACATATAAAGAAGCATAGGCTACAATTAAAATATTCGAATTAAGTACAATTATTTTAAACTCTGAGTAGTAATAGTACCACTACGTTTTTTTACTTGTATAACATTTAACAGCAATAATAATTTGTCTTTTTGTTTGTTGCTTTTCCCTGCGGAGTGAGACCTCTCTTCACAGAGGGATGTTGTTGTGCAACAGCCGGCGGCCATGACTCGGTCCCCGCCCTGAAATCTTTAAATACCCACTGTGAACCGTTACACGAGAATACACATACACACACACACGACACATCCAGTGATGTGCTGACATTTTCCATTATTTAAAAAAAAACTTCGCTGTTTAGTTTTGCACCATGGAGCTGGACCGGCGACTGCTGCTGGCTCACTGTGCCGCTCACGCCCTTTCTGTGGCGGCCGGGCTGCTGGTGGTCGTCCCCATGGCTCTGAACGGATCCGCGTTTAAAGGCCGCTGCGCACTCTTCTCCACCGGCTTCTGGAGGACAGAGGACCGGGCAGAGCTAACGGGGCAGCCGGGGGACGTCTCTCAGCTGGTGGTGCAGCAGTGGGGGCCTCCAGCTGCCTGCCAGTTCGCCACATTTGTCGGTATTTTCACGGTGCTGTACGGGGCAGCGCAGGGCTGGAGGAGCCTCTTCTATCTGCACGGAAGACATGATGAGTGAGTACCACATTAAATAATAACTGCAGCACTGACCTGATTATACTGCACTTACTTCTATTATTGAGGTAGCCTACTTGTGCTTTATTTGATTATTTATATGATAGAACTTTGGCATTTGAATCCATTACATAATCAAAAGCAGTGGTGTAAAGTAACTAAGTACATTTGCTCAAGTACTATATTTAAGTACAGTTTTGAGGGCTAGTTCTTGACTTTTGCTACTATTCGGAGGTAAACCGTGTACTTGTACTTCATTACATTTATCTAATATATTTAGTTTGCCGTGTTGGATTTATGATGTGAAAAATACTCAATTATTTAGTTACACCTGGAGTATCCTTGCAGTACACAAAGTCATCAAAATGAGCTGCACCATTAACCAGCTTTGATAACACTCTACTGCATCTGTAATCAAAACGTGTTATATAAATGGTTCTCAAATGGGCCAATCTGCATAATGACTACTTTTACTTTCGCTACTTTGAGTATATTTTAATAGTTTAAATACTATTTTGATTGCATTACTTTTACTTGTAACAGAGTATTCTTACACCATATAAATAGCTGCCAGTAATGCATTTAGTCTTTTTTTTGTTTATTTAACTTATGTTGAAATGTTTTGGCTCTATGACACCTGATTATATGATTCTGTTTTCTTCAAGTTTGTATCTTCCTGGTCGAATGCACTTATGGTAAGTCGCTTTGGATAAAAGCGTCAGCTAAATGCAATGTAATGTAATGTGTGTCTGTGTGTTTCTGCTTAGCACCCTGTTTTCATCCTTCCTGACGGTTGTGCTGAGTGTGTGTGTGCTCTTCCTGTCCGGAGGGGCCAGTGTCATCTTGTCTCTGGGCTTCTACTCCTGGTGCGACACCGTGACTAATCTCAACACACGACCATACAGGTAGGCACCTTGTCTGAGGGTGAATCCCCCTGTGTGCAGAGCTGAACAACAAGAAGAATCTTCTGTACATACTGTGTCAAATCCAAAGAAATCAAAAATACAGTCAACATTCATGAGTGTTTTTTGTGATCATTTCTCATTCCTTCATGTTTTGTTGTCCAGCTGTGCAGAGTCCCAGTCTGTTCCACTTTACCTGGATGTGGACACCTCGTCTTTCTACACAGAGCTCGGTCTGGCACAGGTAGGAGCATTCTCAAGTTTACACCCAGAGGAAAAAACAAAAACAATTTGTTGATCAGTGAGATAAAGTCATACCCACTATTCAACAACAAGCGTCTTCAACAGACAATGTATCTTTTCATAAAATACAGAAACATGATACTGGAATATTCTGTGCTACAGCATTCATTGCTAACATTTAACAGATAGTATTCTGCCTTAATTTCCCACCCTTCGGAGAGTTACTTATTCCTCAAAAGTCCTTCCCCTGGATATTTTCTGGCGATTTAGTTTTTCTAAACCCATTTTTTGCAGCTTTCCACACAGACGAGCATGCGTGGCCTTGATGTTTTCTTCATGTGAGTGTGACTGTAAGCTTTATTAATCACACCTCTCCTCAGGCGTCTCTGTGGGGAGTGACGGCTCTGTGGCTGGCCCACTCCATCGTGGCTTTCCTGCGGCTCTACCACTCCCACAGCCAGCACATCAGCGGGCCCTGTGGCCCCCGAGAGAAGGAGCTGCTGCTGAGACACAGTCTGTCCGACAGCGGCTCCCCCACACCTCCCACCGCCGCCACTCCCACCATCTTTGTCTAACTGAGAGGTAGTGATACCACATGATGCACTCTGCTGTCAGAAATACGTTTTAAACGTCATTTCCCCCCTTATCACTACTGCATGTAGAATATGGGCATGAAAGTGTTTGATTAATTTAATATAATTCATACTTCTTCATCTTATATAATTGAAGAGCCTGAGTGATCAACAGTATAGGAGTTGATATCGGCTGATAAATAGCTAAATGTCAGTATAGAAATGCCAAAGATTTGTTTCAGGTCATTTAAAAACAGTCTCCATTATAGGATAGCACTAACACGTTTCTGTTTAGCATCCTGGAGGCAGTCAGGCTGTATTATAAATGATAAGATGTTGAGCATCACTAAAACACCACAACTTCAGTTTCTGCCATGTATGTTCGATAACATTTGAGCCACAGATCTAAACATCTATTTTTCTTAATCCTTAAAAAAAATATATTTTCTAAAATCCTCAAAGACTCTTTTAACCATTTGGATGAAAACAAACCCGTCACTGCACAATAAAGATGCTCATCTCATTTTAGAGTGCAGTTAAGAGTAACCAAAGGTTTATTATTAGACATTTTCAGTATTTAAAACCAGCTTTGGCAAAAAGAACGACAGAAGATTGAAACTGTTGTCAGTACGAGAGTTAGGGAAACGCATCCTGATATACTTTGGTTTCCTATTTAACAGTTTGTTATAAATGATCAGATGTGATATAATACAGGTACAGTTAGCATTTTGTATACCAATCATGTGTTATGTATCTGTACATGCACTACATGTGTTGCCAGTTTTCCTTTCTACTCAAATGTAAACACCACAGAGTCCTCCCTCTTTTTGCATATGCGACCTGTGAGGGAGGCCAGTGATTGTAACTTGGTGTCGCTTCTTCTGGTTTCATAAAGACAATGTTAATGAATTACTCTAAACATTTAACACAACAAAGCCAACTTAGTTAGACTAAGTATTTCGGAATAATGTGTGAGAAAGATTGTTTCCTTTTGTTCCCAAATGGCCCAAATTGAATGAGTGCATTACATAATGTATGTATTAGCTTGCTTTGTTATGCATGACAAAAATATCCATGCAGAATGGCTTACATATGTCATTTCCACCTACATGTTTTTGTTTTCATCTTGCAACAATATTTTAGTTTTTATATATCTTATCTTATATATATCTTTTAAC